AAGGCAATGCTAATTTAAGGGGGATGGTCACTGACATGCATCCTCTTATCCAGATAACCCTAGAATCTCAAAGGACCTCCGAGATGTGTCACCAGGATCTCAAACTCCAACCCTTTTCTTTGAAATTTCTCACTCTATTCCTCCCTTCAGCCTCTTCTTCCATCTCCTCATTCTCTCAGGTTGTTGATCATCTTTTGATTTCACTTGGCCCTAGGTCACTCTCCTCGAGAACAGTCTCACCAGCACTCTTGATGCCAAGTGGTTTTGACAAACCTTTCTAGTACATCTCCCCCCAGAGAGAAATCCAACTAGTTGCTCGCTTTGCCCACGAATCAGCTCTATACGGAAACCTTTTGGCTTGCCCACCATCACCTTGGAGAAGCCAAGGTGATTCTTCCCTCTACAAATTTAATCTTTTCTATCCATCTATTTTTAATTTTTTAATAGATTCTATTGCCTATTGATTTCTTAGAAACCCTACTCTTAGCTGTCTCTTTCCTGTATCTTTAATCTCTCCCTTTCTAACTAGCTGCCCCCCTTTATGGACAGGCATTTTCAAGTTCTTCCCATCATTTAAGAAATCTTGCTTTTATTCTTACTTTTCTCCTAACGGTCCTCCTTTTCTTCAAATATTGAGAGCAGTGTCCCTAAACTCCCTGCTGCCTTCAATTCCTCAACTCTGGGCAATGGCACCTGCCTCCTCTAGATCCATCTTCCCTTACGACTTCATTAAAACCATTTTGGCCGAGTTTACGAACGACCCCCTGCATCTCTACTCAGATGGCCTCTTTTCAGTCCTCATCCTGTTTAAACTCTGATCTCATTACCTTCCTTTTCAACTCTGCTTCTTCTCTGAAGCATCATATCGCAATTTGCAGCTCCTGACCTAGTTAGGATAACATCAAGCTATAACACTAATGCAAGCTGTGGCTCCTCCCTCCCTCAGCCTCCACCATCCACCTACTACCAAATTGTGATCTCTTTTGAAAAACTAATTCTCAAATCTGGACAGTCTACTCCAACCTTTCTTGCCAGAGCTCAGACTCATCTCAAATCTCACCTGGACACTCAGCAGCCCCTTCGATGGCAACTGGCTTTCAGACTCCCCCTGTTTTGGTTACTCCCCACATCGCTGCCCGAATTAAGCCTCCCAAACACTCATCTGTTTTTCTCACTCTCCTCCTGGAAAGTGCTCAGGGCTCCCCCTTATCTCTCTGAAGTTCAGCTGTGTAACGGGACCTTGAGAGTCAACTCCAAGTTCACTGCTCTGTACTCATAAGCCCTCCTGCAGCATACCCTGTGGTCTGAAGCATCCAACACCCCACAACTTCTTGTTTCTACAGAGGCTATCTGACCGAAATACAATTTTACCCTTTCTCATCTGGAACCTGTTTACTCTCCCTTTAAAGCCCCAGCTCAAATACAACCTCTTCTGAAAAAGCCTTCTCCACTTCTCCTGGGCTGTTTGGCTCTCTATTCCGGTATTGCCTTATTCTTACCTCTTAAGAGCCATTAACAAGTTGTCTCTGACTCTTCCACTCAGCTTACTTTCCTCACTAGACCATGAGCTCTTTGAAGAAAGAAAGATCTTATTCAATACTGGGTATTCCCAGTACCCACCCAGTTTCTTATTTAACAAATGTTTGTTGCAGGAGTATAAACAGAGGATATGGTTCCAAAAATGACAGAAATAAACAAGAAGAGAATAAAATTGTGGTGAGAATACATTACATCTTGTCCACAATGGGTAAAGATAAGGTTGTTGTTGTATTCTTTGAGTTGCTAAGTTGTGTCTGACTCTCTGTGACCCTATGGACTGTAGGCCGATAGGCTCCTCTGTCCATGGGATTCTCCAGGCAAGAATACTGGAGTGGGTTGCCATGCCCTCCTCCAGGGGATCTTTCCGACCCAGGACTGAACCCCCCAAGTCGCCTGCATCTCCTCCTTCACAAAAGGGATTCCTTACTAGTGAGCCACCTGGGAAGCCCCAAAAGATGATACCCTAGTAGAAAATGACAGGAGATAAGGATGCTTCATTAGCGCTCAGAATAACCCACATTCCAATCCATCAACTCATTTCTTTCCACTGTCAACGCAGGAATAAAATCCATAAAAAGTACTCATGTCTGTATTCTTTTCTCTCTGATTTCAGGCTTGTAGGTACCACTTTCTGTCCTCTCCCAAGACCAGTTGTCCAAATGATCACAGTATCATCATCAGAACAGGTATACAAGATGCCCAAAGGCTCAGTGCCTAAATTAAATTTGGCTGTTGCTAAGAGATATCAGGCTTCAGACAGAAGAGTCTGAAGAGTCAAAACTGGCACCAGCAGTGAGCTCAGGTGCAGGAGGCATCCAGATGTACTAAGAATGATCATGCTTGGGGAGGAAAGAAAATAGGAAAGATTATTTAAAGCCAATTTCAGAAATCCTTTCATCTCACCTTCCGTTGGGCAAATACTCTAAGAAAAGAGTCCTGTTGTCCCTTCTAACCTGTTCCTGCTTCATGACAAGCCATAATCTATCCTTCAGCTTGGGATAAGATAACTCCTAAATAAAGCCATCAGCCCAGTCTTCTTCACCTGGCCTTGTGCTTTTTCAGACAAACAGCAGGGACGCTCATGTGCATACAAAAGAGCAGAAATTAACAGTCTCTATTGATTGTTGCCAACTGAATTCAAACGGAAGGGAACAACCTCAGCCAAGATGAAGAAAGACATCAAAAGGCCAAATTACAGAGACTTGAATCCTAACAGGACTTGCTTAGCTCTCTCTTGGAAGTAGCAGTCTTCCTCAGGTTCTATATTTTTGCCTTACAGAAATTTATTTAGCCACTGGTTCAGCTAGAGCAGAACTAACTCTTCCTTCAGGATAATCTATGAAGAAAGGAGGGATATCATAGTTATGAGGAGTAGGTATAATGCCAACTTTCATTCAGTATTTTCTTTGACTTAAATGTCAAGAAAACTTGGCAGTGGGTTCACATACCAAAACTTAAAGGAAAGGCAGTAGGTGTCAAGGAAAGTAATACAGTCTGCCTCTCTGTTCTCAACTCCTTAAACAAGTTTTGCATGGGTGTCCATATTTTAAGGAATTCCTTACACCCTCACTTACAGAGAAAGAGAACTAATGACAGCTGATGGGAAAGGCTATGAGAAAAAAAGATGGCACTGAAAATTTAGAGTAGCATCCACAAGAGAGAGAACGATATCATAGAATTTAAGAATGGATCATAGTATTTAAAAATAGAACATTGGTTGATGCCCTATCTCCACCACTTCCTATCAATGTGATCTCCAACATCATGTCTGTATGTTCCAGTAACTATAAAATGGGGATAAAAATTTATTCCACATAAAATTCTCATGATTCAATAAAATAACAGAAGTGCTCTATGAGCAATAGCATACACTACAATAATATTTTAGTAGTAATAAAATTTAAAAAGGGCTTCCCTTGTGACTCAGAAGGTAAAGTGTCTACCTGCAATGTGGGAGACCTGGGTTCAATCCCTAGGTCGGGAAGAGCCCCTAGAGAAGGAAATGGCAACCCACTGAAGAGTTCAAGGTACTTTTGTTTACTGTCTATACTCATGGGATGGTGATGTCAACCTTACCTTACCGGGAAAGGGGAAATTTTAAGATAAAGACTTTCTATCAGTTCTCTACTTCCAAACAAGTTGAGGAACCTGTTCTGAGGATTCAATTAAATAAAGACTCAAGCATGAAAAACTCAGGGTCCCAGCATAGAAGTCTGGGAAGAACCTAAGATGAAGCAATGATAGAAACAGTCATGTTTGGCTCCCATGACTGTGGGGCTGACATGAGGAATCAAGTTCAGTTCTAAGCATAATGCAGCTGGGAGGTCTGAGTGAGAGACAGAGGCTTTACCTCTGGGAGGCCTCACTTTGAACCTGAGGGTAGTAAAAGAAGTCCTGACTTGAGTTCATCTTTTTTTCCCTTTTGCTCCAAGATGCATAAAACATTTCCCTATCAATTTCCTTGGCTTCAAAGCCAGGCCAAAGAAATTGCCTGAACCAGACAGCCAAGAAGAAAAAATGCAGAGAGAAAACACACGTGGATGCCCGATTAGAGAAAGATGAAGGAACCTGGCTTCTGCTTTTCTCTTAATGGACTGTCAATCCTTCGTTCTCCCCAGGTATTTGAACACACATCCACATGGCACATGTCGATGCTCTCAATTGCTCTCTGCGTCAGAGATGAAGATACCTTTTTATAGTCACTGCAGGGAATATTCTCTGACTAGTAAGCCTGCTTAGTTCTGGTGGGAAAGATCAGCCTCTACAAGACTAGCGGGCAGGAAGAAGAGCTCCTTTCTGAGTCGCACTGTCCTATCCCTCACTCCTTTGAAGTCGGAACTGACTCAACCACAGTCTGCACTATTATCCAGTCATGACTGCTGGACGTGTCAAAACAGCATTTTAGAGGTTAAGAGACAATGAATTGTATAAACATTCAATGCATATGGCAAAAGAGGTCATAAATACCCCATTAAACACAAACATGTGTGTGGGAAGGGACAAGTCTTTTGAATAGTCTTTCATTTTCACATCTGCCCAACCAACCTTGTTTTATTAACTGGTCCCCTTAACATGCACTGTTGGGTTTTTTTTTTTTTTTCCCTTCCTAAAGAATGGTTGGATGGCTTCCCAGATGGCCCAGGAATAAAGAATCCACCTGCCAGTGCAGGAGCTGCAGGAGAGGCGGGTTTGATTCCTGGGTCAGGAAGATCCCCTGGAGGAGGAAATGGCTACCCACTTCAGTATCCTTGCCTGAAAAAGTCCATGAACAGAGAAGCCTGGTGAGCTATAGTCCATAGGGTCGAAAAGAGTCGGACACAACTGAGTGACTAAACAAAGAATGGTTATGGGCAAAGGAACATGCATTTTAATTTCCACTCAGTCTCCTGGGATTTTAGGAAGTGAGTCTAAATCAACCATGTCTAAACCAACAAAGCATTGTCTTCTCTGTTTCTAACCAGGAACAAGATTTACAATGTGGATATTCCTGCCACCTAAGCACTGTCACACCAGCAAAGTACACACAAGCTTCCCTGAGCAGACCAACCAACAGGGCAAGCGCCCGAATCCTAAGCAGATCTTCCACTCAGGGAAAGTTCAGCCAACCAGAACTCTCTCTCTCTCTTTTTTTTTTAAATGAGATTTTTGGACAAAGTCTCTGAAAGGCTGGAATCAAAGCCAATGCCCATCCCTCAAAAAAAGTTATGGGAGAGGAAATACTGTGCTCCCCTAGAATTCAGTTAACTGGAAGTTCTCCTGCTAACAAGCCCAAGCAAGCCTGTGGACAAGGTTCCTGTCGGGCTTCTGTCCACCCCTCCTCAAAGCAGCTCTTCTCCAAGCCCAGGCTTCTCTTGAGGATGCCTTCTTATCTGATTAAACGGAATATTATGTGAAATATTCAGCCACCCCGGCACTGGCTGTGTGGGTGTGCTGGATAAAATCTTCATGAAAACGCCATCACAGGTCATTTGTTTAATTTCAATTCTGCACAATGTAAAAATAGAACGAGCTGCCGTGAAGGGTTGAGGCTTGACAGCTTCAATGAGAAGGCTCCACCAGCACAAAAACCACGCCGTTCTGCCGGATCGCCTGCTTGCTCCCTGTGCCAGAGGAGCAGGGGGAAGAGAAAAACCCTGAAAGTGAGGTACAGCTTTCACACTCTTCTGCTCTTTCCCCCCTTTTCACCCTTCCTTGCACCTCTCTGCATCTTCCTCTTACTCCATCTGTTCCCTCCCTCTCCTCCCACTTGGCTGGCTTCCTCTCTCGGCCGCCCCACCCGTCCGCCCCTCTTTCATCATCTCTATGTGTCATTTCTTCTTCTCCTTCGCGGGGACGGGTCCTCCTCCAGGGCTCCGCTCCCTCACCTGCGCTGCTTACCTGCAGGTACAGCAGGACTCACAAACTTTTCTAGGAATTGCTCTCCGAACCCGTTCCCATCTTTATCCCCTTTCACCAAGCCCCAGACACTGAAGATGGAACTTCAGAGATCAATTAGATCAGGTGACATGAGCTTCAAGGGCTGCTTTTTTTCATATTCCCTCATCTAGCCAAATACGTTTATTATTCATGGAGCTCAGCAGCTACCGGCAGGTGGGCAGGCAGGAGGTACCTCATGAGCCTTGTGTTCTAGACAAGTCAATTTTCAATTTTCTGAAGATAAAAATAAATAAATAAATGCCCAAGTCGCACCCTCCAGTGGTAATTCCTGAAGCTCACAGCCACCTTAACACAATCTCAGCTCAGAAAGGGAATCTTCTCCTTAACCAGGGCTCCAGAGCTGTACCAAAAGCCCACATGGTTGCTGAGACTGGAGAGTGAGGCTTCCTGCTTCATTCATTCCTGCTGAGGTCTCAGAAATGCCCCACTATCTGACCTGCTTTCAAACCAAAGGGTTAGGTAGTTTCAAATCCGTTGATAGGGCTGATAGAAGCAATGCAGAGGAGCTCATTTTCTGCCCAGAACGGACCTCCTTGCCTGTGGAGCCATCTTCCTCCTCTCCTGTGGGTCGCCAGTAACTTCCTCTGTGCAGACAGAACTTCACTGCTGCTTTGAGGAAAGTCTATCAGAAAAGGTGGTTAGCAGACCACTAAATCACAGATTTATCAACATCAACCCAGTCAAGAGAAGCACTTAAACTCCTGTTTTTATTGTTATCTTACAGATCTGTGCTCGAGCCCAAAGCCAAGTGTTCTCCTATCTAAAGAGCTCTATTTTCACACACCCCAAATGAGGCTTCAATAAATCAGAAGGACCCTCATAAGAGCATATCTCTATTCACGATCCCATTTCCTAAAACACCCACCCCACCTTTGCTGTAAGACTGTTTCCGCCCTCTTGCCTCTTACTGGCCATGTTCCTCTGAGAGGCAGACGCACAATGTGCATCCACCAGATACAAAGCAGAGTGATACCAGGGCACCCGTGAGCAGTCAGAGTCCTGTATCCACAAAAATAAAGGGCATGTGGAACCCAGTGGTGTTTCTGCTTTGTGCATGTGAGGGTTCTGGGTCAAATTAATGAAATGGTGATTTTAATACAATTTAAAGAATAATCATGTCTAGGGCAGAAAATCAAATGTGGTTCCTGAGGTACCAATCCACAGGCGCATAAGAGGGTAAGCAGGGGAAGAAAGAAAGGCTCCTGATTAAGGTGAAAGGAGCATGAAAATCAAAACAGAGTAGAAACCACAGCAGGCATCACAAGAGAAAGCACCCTCTCAGCCGGGGCAATTGGAATGGGTGGTAATTCCAAGCAAAATTGTAAACAGCAGCCCAACACCACAGACAGCTGAAAATGACAGGCCGCTTGTATGAAAGCAGCAGACAGTGGAAGCAGGGCAGTGGGAATACCCCTGGACGCAGCCGCAGCCCTGCACTGGTGGTTTCTGTTATGCGTGTACACACTACAGATGTGTCTGACCAGAGAGTCCTGACCCAGGGGTCAACAGTGAGCCTATCTGTGAAGATATCACATGACCACCATGGTCCAAAAGCAAAGGCTGGAAGGTGGTGGCAGGGACCCCCTTTATCTGCCATATCCTTATACAGATGTGATTTCATTCAAGACCTATGATCCATGATCCCTGAATGCAGATGAGCAAAAAACCAAATAAGGCGTTCACATCTGGGGATGAGGTCACCTGGAGTTCTGCAGGAGGACCCCAGCTTGGCTAGGTATTATCAGTTACTTATAATGGTTTATTTCCAAAATGAACACCAAAGCCCGGCCTCAAATCTCCAAAACCTAGCAGCCTTTGAGTGTGGACCTGGAACCAGAACTTGCCAGCTTCCACTGGAGACCCTGGATCTCCTAAACAGCCACGATGCCATCAGAGCTCTGGGCCCCAGGTACAAGCTGAGGATGAGATCTTCGGAGCAAGTGACAAAGTACAGGAGCCTAGGGGAAGGGACCCAGGCAGAGGCTACGACCTCACCAACGTCCTCACTATATACTATCCAGGGCAGCTGGTTCAGTTGTAAGAAGTCGTGAAGGTGACATGGACAGGGACATCCGGGATGAACAACGGAAGTGATCTTCAAGTACGAAACAGAGGCAGAGGCCCCACTGAACAGGCAGAATAAACATTACCCTCAGCCAGAGCACAAGATTCAATTTCCCACACAAGAGATACAAGTCTATACTTTGCCCTCTACCCTTCTTAATGCTGTGTAATGAACGACAGAGGAACAGGTCACATTCAAACAGTGTGTACACCCTTCTCTGAGTGCATCTGCTCCACAACAAGCCTTGAGATCACATGAGGGGCAAAGAGGGGCGTTTTGGGGTAAGGACAGAAATGCAGCATTTTCAACTTGTTTCCAGTATCAGTTTCCTGGGCTCAAAGAGGTAGCCCAGCTGAGATACTTTCCTCCTGAAAAGCACCCCAACTGAGGGCTCCTCATCCCTAAGGCAATCTTCTCTAGCTCCAATAGGTGATGTGCCCACGTGGGCACCGGCAGGGGAGACAGCTCAGCACCCTGTGCAAATCTCTTTGTCCTCACCAGAGAGGTGGGAGTTACATCTGCTGCTGTCATGAAAACATATCATTATTTTTTCACAAGTCTTTACCCCCACCCCCACTCTGGATAAAGCTAGGGATTTTCAAAGTATAAGTGATGTGCACAATCCTCCCACCCTATTGATCTCCAATGCCGGGTGTGTGATGGAGTCACCTCTCCCCACCATTCTGAGATCCACTGGCATTCACAGCCCTGGAGCACGCTCTCAGCTGCTGGTTCCTACATGGCCTTGGAGCCTAGGGGCCGGGCTGAGGAACTTTGAGGGGAATGAAGTTTCTCCAGGCATGAAGTCAGCTGATGGGTGCCACAAGTTGTTTGGTCTCTAACAAATTCATTTCCATGGCCATGCCTTCTCATCCCTTCATCCACTTCTTAAGAGTAATTCCATTTCTTCTAGAATGGGACTCAGTGCATCCCCAGGTCCAAATCAGGAATTCCTCCAATTACTAGACCTTCCACTTCCGTGCTAGGAGGAAATTAGGAAAGGCAGAGCCTCTCTGTAGTCTTACTAGGTACCACTGGATAAACCTCATGATGTTCACTTTGCCTTTCTTCCAAATCTTGGACTTCCACCACACCAGGGGGACAGGCACAGACACGCGGGTGGCCAGGTGGGGTCAGGGAAGCACTGCTCAGAACAAAGAAAGCCAGTGCCCCCAGTTAAAACTTTGCCAGAAAGCTAGAGAGAAGCAGACACAACCCCCATGCCCACAGCCCTGCCCTCACCACTCGCCTAAGCACATCTCCAGAACTGAATGGAGAATGAAGCCAGCTTAGCCATCTCTGCAAATTCATGAACAAGTGCAGTTGTTCTCAGTGCTTTCCTAGGGACGCCGAATCTCAAGGGTGGACCCCACAGCCGGGCCACCATCCATGTTAATAGCTTTACTGTGCCCTCCGGTAACTTTGAGGTCGCTCTAAGAAAATTCAGATGAGCAAGGCACACCGCTCCCACCCCCTGTTCCCACAGCCTCCAGGTTCCCGGGATCCCTGCGCATCATCGCTCCTCTCCTCTCCTCTCCCACGACCCCAGGCATCCAGGTGCGCTCCTCCCACGGGGCTCAGGAAGATTAGGAAGTTCTTACCTGGCTCGGCTGAGAGATGCACTCATGTGGCCGGGGGCACGGGTCAGCGGCGTCCAGGGCAGGCACACGGGCTGCCGGCCACCGCTCAGCACATCTCCCGGGGAGTCCTGCTCGGCGAACCGCAGAGCCAGTTCCACCTGGGGGTGGAGGAGCGCGGAGCCCGAGGACGCGGAGCCCGGCTGGGCCGAGGGGCGCGGGGGACCCGGGCGGGCGGCCGTCTGCGCGGGGGTGGGGGTGCAGGGGCGTCCGGGGAGGAAGCGGAACCCCCTCCCCCTCGGCGCGCCGCGAGGCTCCCGCTGGCTCGGCGTCTAGTTGTTACCGCACCGCCTTCCCGCTTTCTATAAATATAGACTTGCCCCCTCGCGGCGCTGGTGCGGCTCTCCGAGCCGTCCCCGACTCTACCTCCGCGGTTTCCGCTCCTCTCTCCCTCCGCCCCTCCCCCGCCCTCCCCGGGCAAAGCCTGCCGCCTGCCCGGATTCTCCCGCTGTTGCCTCTCTCCAGCATTTAGCACTGCAGTGTAACTCGGGGACACGCGACCAGACAGTTCCTTTAAAACCAGACCATCAAGTTTAGTGCGGAAACCGACCCCAGAAGCGCAGCTCCCGGTGGCTGGGAGGAGATGTTTAGCCCATCTGGAAGCCAGATCTCCGCGTTTCAGGCAAAATTGCGACCAGGCAAGAGAGGAAGGCGAATGGCAGAGAGACGCACGAGTCCACAGGTGACCTCTCTAGGATGGGGCGGAATCCGGATGGGTGGTGTGAGAGTCTGGGGACTGCAAAGCAGGGCAGGACCTGAGGTGTCGTCGGGTTCAAAGCGCTAGTTTTGCAGGTGGGAAAATTGAAGCTCAGAGAGGTGCGTGAACTGGCTCAGGATCACACAACTGGCTAGGGAAGTGGGGACTTAGTTAATGCGGTTGTCAGGGCATCAGGTTTCTACACCTACTAAGAACAGTCTGGGTGTGGAATGGCCCCGGAGGAACAGTGCCTTTTTATTTCACTAACTCTTGCCCAGGGCACTTGAGCTCAGGGGGGGGAAAATAGCCAATTTACAGGTTAACCCTTCATTTTACCAGGACAACTTCTAAAACCATCCCTTCTTCCCGGAAAGCTGTAAAGAAGAAAAGCACCAAAGGAGCAGCAATGCTTAACCCACACAGAAAAGTGAAATGACAAATCTTTCTTCACTGCTGTCTTCCGGAGATCCCCGATAACAACACTGCTTTTAAACCCCATTTTCCACTTATTATTTTCCCCTTTCCTCTCCCTCCTGCACATCACTCTGATTGCTCTCTGACACAGATATTTTCATATTACCCACAAAAGAGAACACATTTTTTTCCATCTACTGCTTACATCTACACTCATCCTACCTGGCAGTTATCAGACTATAAATCAAGGGGCTTTCTCAGTGGAAGATGGTGAGGGGCATCACAGCATTAATTCCCTTCCCAGAAGATGTTATTATCCCTGGCAGAGTCTTCTCACAAATGAGAAGGAGGCATTTCATGACCTGGATGACAGAGCAACTCTGGAATTGCTTCTCAGGGCATTGGTATGTGGTCCATCCACATCTCCTTCAAGTGGGGTCCAACATGTTTATGCACTCACATACTCTCTTTGGAGAAGTTCTGATACCTATTTCACAAGTACGTGCGCCAAGGTAACTCAGAGAAAAATGAAACCTCCCCAGGAGTTATACTGTCAATCAAGAAGGGGTCTTTTGGCAAATGCCATTGAGAAGCAGGTAGCAAAATGAGGAAGAGAGAACTTGACATCTCCACCCTTGACCATATTTGTCAGCTTGGACAGTTTCCTTAGCCCCTCTAAACCTTAGTTTCCCTAAATGAAAAATGGAGAAAGTAACCAACCCTGCTGGGTTTCCCAGGTGTTGCTAGTGGTTAAGAACCTGCCTGCCAATGCAGGAGACATAAGAGTCGTGGGTTCGATCTCTGGGTTGGAAAGATCCCCTGGAGGAGGGCATGGCAACCCACTCCAGTATTTTTGCCTGGAGAATCCCCCAGACAGAGGAACCTGGTGGGCTATGATCCATAGGGTTTCACAGTGTTGGGCACAACTGAAACAACTTAGCCTGCAAGCAATGGATCCAGCCTTAGAAGTAAATGAGATTCTGAATGTAGGCTGCTTGGAATGCGATAGGTTTTACCTGTTATTTGTATTGCTCATATTGTTATTCAGGGTCAGACCTTTTAGGGACCTCATACCTACACTACTAGCTAGATAACTCTGACCAAGTGGCTTAATCCCCACCCCCACCCCCACCCCCCACCTGTGCTGCTTCTC